CGCCCAAGCGCCCAGCGCGCCACAGGACCTCGTTGTTAAAACTGGTGTAATTTCGAACACTTACCCGGGACGCGTGCGCTGCGGCCGGGCGGCGGCCGGAGGAGAGCCGAGGGGATAATGAGGCACTTGGATAGTATTTCATCCATGATTGTGTTTGAGCCAACTTGCCCCCTGGCTAGCCCACGTCGTAGGGCAGCGCGGCTGTGGAGAGAGAACGAGAAGAGAAAAAGAGAGAGAGACAGAGATAGAGACAGAGAATGGGGGGAAAGGGGAGAGAGAGACAAAGAGAGACGCAGTGCGGGTCAAAGCGATCCATCATGAGTCACCCCTTGACTCTCACGACAATAACACAGGTGGACGTTGTATGATGAGTCAGATGGTTTCAGATCCGATAATTACACCGAATTCCTCACATGGTCCCGTCCCGTCTGGGGCGGGTTGCATGAAGGGCCTCCGCCCGGGCCATTAGAACAACTGGCCGGCCGATATCCGGAGCTGTGGGCGTGTCACTACGGTGGACGTTCGTACGCTTCGTGACACCTGACTACTCTTTGTACTGCGTACATCCGGGCCTAATCTGTACTGTAGATCAAGCCAGGTCCGTGAAAATAAATAAATAAACTGCGAGGGGTTTGCCCTCGTGAAGGTCGGAGCTCTTCGCGGAAACCATTTGGGCGCTATGATAGAAGCCATCACTCGAGAAGAAAGGGGTGAGGGGAGTGGACGGGGAGGTGGGAGGGAGGTGAGTAAATAAGGGAGTAAAGGGGGAGAGGGCGGGGGCGGGAGCGAGAGGGAGAGTAAGAAGGCTTGGGGGTGGGGGGTATGCTCCAGCCTAGCCTTTGATCGCAAGGTAAATAAACATAAAGTCTCTGCAAGATCCCCTGCCCCATTTTCCATTGCCCCCCTCCCCTCTCCCTCTACGGTACCTAGGATACCACTCCTTCACAAATGTTATGTACGCACCTCTTGTACGCCCTCAAACTGTCCTCCTCGAACACAATGTCGCATCATGATTCGACACAAAGTCACCACTTACGAGGTGGCACCGCCTAAAATGCTTTTTGCCCCTCAAGGCTGAATGCGGTGTTTTTTTTAATTTCCCTCTCATCTTCTCATCTTCTTCTTCTTCTGGTACAGCATACACTTTTGTGTCGACCAAATTACACTTTTACTTTTTGGTTTGCTGCGGGCTTGCTTGTCGTAGCCTGAGGCGTAGAACTACTCTACCAAAGCGTTTTCTCGAAATTCGTATGTGTAAGAAGTGTGGCAATAACACGGAAAAGACTTGTTATTTCATTTTGGTTTGTTTCTGAAAAAGATGGGTAACCACTTGTGGCCACAGTCGTCTGGAGTCAAATGTTGTGAAAAATAAAAATACCGGTCAATTAAGTAGACTTGGCAGTGCAACACGACACACGATATGGCGTTGCACTTGCCGTGTTATGAGGCCTAATAACGCCCAAAATTACAATGATTTGCGACGGTACAGAGAATACCGGGGCCTTTCTGCGCGCACCTAAAGTGGTTGCTGCTGAGTGGAGAGAAAGAGTGGGTGTGTGTGCGAGAGAGAGAGAGA